TATTGGCTACTCATGATAATGTCTGAAAATTGTTTTGACTAAGTACTCATACAGAACACTTGTAGAATACAGTTAATTCGAAAGGTAATACTTTCTAGTATATAACGACTTTTTCAGCTCATTCTCTGAGTAAGTATCTTCCTACTATTAACAATATGGTCAGTGGCTCTGAACCCAAACCAAAAATACTAACTTCTAACGGATTATGAGCACATTCACTTGATGGTTTCTAATATAGCGAAACAAGATTTTCTGATCTTTTTATTATTACTGCTACTACACAACTTACTTCACAAAATATTTTTGAAATTAAACGACAATCCTAAGGCTTTCTAACTAAGGTGCCAGCTGTTTAAAGCTAGTAAAAAGCATAAATATTCCACTTGATTTCATACAGCATGTGAGACAGGCTTAGCTGATTAGTTTTGAAAGCAATTAAATACTTTTCGTTTAGCTTCCAGCTCATGTCAAGTCGTAATGGAAATTACGGGTGATATAGTCATTTTTATGATCTACTACATGATTGGGTAAAGTTAAGGGTGGACACATCCGAGTATTACGAATTTGTTTACTTTACATTGTTATCTTCCACAAAGTCTAGGAGTACAACTACTTAAAATTCATCTGTGATAAATGAAGTCATTTTTCCTCAATTTGTTTTGCAAATATTCCTGAAAAACAAGTCAACAACATTGATGAAGGATAATTACTTTATTGTTCAAGGTCTTTATCTTGATAACTTGACTAACTAAGCATATAAAGTGACCGTTTGCGTTTGACTGTTTAGCTACGTTATCTTACCATCATGGTGTCTTAATTGCATGATTTCTGGATAAAATTTGTAATATTATACACTCTGTTGAGTACTTCTTAATTTGTGTACATAAAACGTCTCGGTCAAGAATCTTGCTCATGGATGACTTAAGCTACTCTCAACATTTTACTTAGTTTGGGATTACTACGGTATTTTCTGAGTTTTAACCTTTAGCAGTGATGATGTAAAGGGTCTATAGTTTTGAGAAACGTTTCGAAATGAACTTTTTTGCTAGGACCGTCCTCGTGTGACACATTTGCAAACAGCATAGGACTTACTGAACTCTGAGTTTTTAACCCGGCAAATGTATTCAAATGCACACCTAAAACAACAAATATGTTTAGATCATCTACAAAAGTCAGCAATCGAAAATTACTTACAGAACAGTACCTATTCAGCTGGACTATTACAAAAATGCATCATTCCTATCACAAAATTCACTCACGTGAGTGACCACTACTAATCAAAACAAGTGACTTGAAACGTCTAGGCTCCACAGCAAAACGTTTTCCATTTCTGTATACTGGTTATAAGATTCAACCATAATCTATGGGAACTAAAAAAAATAGCTCCCATTCACTGAGTTTAATAACGGCAGGCAAATTTGTTTGTTAAATGCATAACAGTAGTCTGCTTACAATATAACCTGAATCTAATTAGTGTAATAACATGCCTAACTGACAGCATAGAATGCCAGTAGGTCTCAAAACAAAACAAACTAACGATTAAAGTCTGTGCAGGATAAATACTCTCCGAAAATCATTAACTGGCAATACTATTTCAGCAAATCCTGAAAGAATCAGAAATTAGCGTTAATTCAACATACAATGTGCTTGTAGGCTTGCAGGTAAAATTAACTTTTGGTTCTTCAACAAAGCTCTGTATGAATTCATCAGTACTAATCCAACAAAATAGAATTTTTCATTTACACCGATTTTTCGCATAAAACCGTTTCTCATTTCCAACATAGTTATCTCCATTTAATACAGTGAAATAAACATTAAGTAATATATGACTACATCAGTTTGGTTTTTGTAAACTATGTTCAGCTGAACAATAATTTTCTCTTTCTGATCCCACCAAGTTACATAGGATGACAACCCAAAAATAATTGCTATTTTCCGACATATCCTTTATCCCTTTTTTTCAGCACCTCAAGATATATCGAATTTTATGTTAAATTAATCAAGGCAGGTATTAACAAATCTTAAATTGATTTTTACTTGAATTATTTGGCTGCTGGATTTTAATAACGACAGTGATCATAGTACATAGCAACATAAATAAATATAAATATAAATATTCAGTCCGGGAAAAGTGGAAATCAGAAATTAGGATGAATTTCTATTTACGTGACGGTTAGGTATGACGGACTCAGACAGTTTTATATTGGGAAAATCTCATTGTTCTGCCTAAAACTAGTGTCCAGTGTATTCCATGTTATCTTAGTGATCGTCATCTAAGTCAACAAAGCAACAGCTGTATCTTTTACAAACCGCAGTTAACATACTCATGTTTCTTGAGTTTGATGAAGGCATGATATCTCTCGAAAGCTTTTCAGCGAAATCAATGAACTACAATGCGAAAAAGTTACCATGAAAGCGTCAACAAACGGTCTTATAACACAATTTTTCCCTACAGCATATCAATGGCTGTAAATTATGAATTATGTTGTCGTTGATCTGATGGTCTCTACAGAAACTGGGGCCTACCATTTAATGTGCATGAGCTACTTAATAAAGGCTAATACCCTCATACTAGACAATTCACTCCCGAGAATATATCCCTTAGTAAAATTACCGCGAAGATGCCTGTACACTGATAAAAATACTGTAATTATTGACCGTTTGTTTGAATACTACACTGCATACTTCATGT